GTCTGGCTTGTCTTCTGATTCTCTTGAAAGGTATTTTTTTTTTTTTAAGTGGGATGCAAATGAGGTTAATACATTGAAAAGGATTGATAAATTTCTTGTTTCTTTTTTCTTCTTTTAAATTAAGTATGCCTCTCCTCCCCCTCCGCATGCGCGCGCACACGCGCACACACACACACACACACACCCACCCACACAAATACCAGGGATATTTGCATTGGCTAGGACTTGAAGTATGATGTTAAATAGAGTGGCAAGAGTGGACATCCTTGCTTTTGTTCCTGAGGGAAAGCATTCAGTGTTCGCCATTGAGTTTGATGTTTACTGTAGATATTTTGTAGATGCACTTTCTCAAGTCTAGGTAGTTCCCTTTTATTCTTAATTTACTTAGAGTTTTGTCATGAATGAATGCTGTCAAATACTTTATTATTTATTGGTAAAAGTGTGGCTATTCTGTTATCTGTTAATATAAATGAATTACATTGATTAATTTTCAGTGGTGACTTAGCTTCACACTCTCAGGATAAAGCCCACTTGGTCATTAAGAATTATTCTTGTTTCTGTACTTATGGATTTGATTTGCTAGTATTTGGAGTATTTCAGCATCTGTTCATGAGGAGTGTTGGTCAGTAGTTTTCTTGTACTTGTTTTTTCTAGTTTTGGTTTCAGGATAATATTGGCCTCATGAAATGAATTGAGAAGTGTTCCCTCTTCTTTCAGAAGAGGTTGAATAAGTTCTCATAGCTTCAGTCTTTCAAGGAATTATCCATTTCACTCAAAGTTGTCAAATATTTGTGTTAGTTTCCCTTATCCTTTTAATGTTTATGAGGTTTGTAGTCATTCCCTTCTGTTGTTCCTGATGGTAATTTATGTCTTCTATGTTTTTTCTTGGTCAAACTAGGTGGCATTTTATCAGTTTTACTGATATTTTAAAAGATTTTTCTTTTGTTTTTCTGTTTTTATTCTGTCGACTTGTGCTTATTTTTATTTCCTTGTTTGGGTTTCATTTGTTCTTTTTCTAGTTTCTAAAGGCTAAAACTTAGATTACTGAGTTTCGACCTTCCTTCTTAAATATAAACCTTTAATGCCATAAATTTCCTTAGGCATTGTTTTAGCTTCATCTCTCAAATTTTGAATATTGTAGCTTCGTTTCTGTTCAGTTGAATATATTTTCTGATTTCTCCCCAAGATTTCTCCTTTGACCCATTAATTATTTAGAAGTATTTGTTTAACTTGGGGATTTTTGAGTTACCTTTTTGTTATCGATTTCTAGCTTAATCCCATTATTACTAGAGAATATACTTATCTGACTTCAGTTATTTCAGATTTCTAAGGTTTGCTTTAATGACCCAGTTTATGGTCTGTTTTGGTGAGTGTTCCACTTGTACTTGAAAAAGTTTCATTTCCTCTACCGATTTCACTTGGCTTTTTTCCTCCTTAGTAATTTATTTGTTGAGGACACTTTTCTTTTGTATTTTGTTCTTGTACCCTTTTGATATCACTTCTGTTCCTTTATCACCTACATTTAAAAAATTGTTGTTAGACCTAGAGCAGGCCTTAGACCTAGAGGTTCTTAAGCTTTAGCGTGTATAAGAATCACTGAGCGAAGTTTATTAAACCATAGATTGCTGGGCCCCATCACTAGAGTGTTTGATTTGGTTGATCCAGGGTAGGGCCTGAGAATTTGCATTTCTACCACGTTAACCTGGTAATAGTGAATGTTGCTCATCAGGAGACAGCATTTTGAGAAGTACAGCTTTCTCAATCTAGCCATTGACATTTTGAGTTGGATAATTCTTCATTGTTGGGGCTGTCACGTGCATTGTAGGATGTTTAGCAGCATTTCTGGTCTGCCCACCAGATGCCAGTGGTACTCACCCCGATTGTGACAATCAGAAATGTCTTCAGACATTGCCAAATACTCCCTGGGGTGGATAGAGGCCCCCACCCCTGTTGAGAACCTCTGCTCTAGGGTGACTAATTGGGGAAAGCTCTTAAACATCCCGTATCTTTTTCTTTTAGGCTGGTTATATTCTTTTGGGACACTGTATATTATAATCTTCTGCCTAGATGTTGAAAGCCCAGCTGCCAGAATTCTGTTTGATTGGTATGGTGTGAAGCAGGGGAAAGGCTCAGCATCTAGTAGGTTTGTGTTTATTTAATTTTCTGTTTTTAGTATTTTCTCCTTCTTTCAGTGTACTTGGTGTGTTCTTTAGTAAGATCCTCTGTTCCCTTTTCAGAGGAAAAAAAGGCTCGTAGTCTTTTGTTGGGTTTGTAGAAGATCAGTTGGTTGTTTAGTTCCAGTGAGGTTGTGTTTCCTTTTTAGACTTTCAAATGATCCTTCTTAGACACTTCGTATCCCCTTACCAGTATTGAGTCTTACGGGAATTCTGCAGATTCTGGGGATTGAATTAGCTTTTAGCTTTCTGCATTGCCAGTTTAGGATTCAGTTCTCTTGGGTCTGCTAAATTGATTGACCATGTGTCCATCTCATGTCCAGCTTCAAAGTTTTGTTCCCATTGAGACTGAAAGGTCTCAATTTGTCCTGTTGTCTGAGTTTAGCCTTAAAACATTTCTTTTTGCAAATCATGTCTGTAATAGACTTGTATCAAGAACATTATATAAGGAATTTTTACAACTCAATAATGAAGATAAATAACCCAAATGAAAAATGGGGAAAAGATCTGAACAAATAGTTCCCCAAAGAAGAAATACAAATAAGCACATGAAAAGATGCTCAACATCATTAACTGTTGGGGGCACTGTAAATCAAAACCACTTCACACTCACTAGAATGACAATAATGTCAGATGATAACAAGTATTGGTGAGGATATGGAGAAATTGGAACCCTTAATATGCTGCTGGTGGCACTGTACAATGGTACAGCCACTTAGAATAACACTGGTGGTTCTTGAACTGGTTAAACCAAGAATTAACATATGATCCAGTAGTTCTATATCTGCATATATACCTAAGAGAAATGAAAACATACATCCACATAAAAACTTGTACAGGATTGTTTATAGCAGTATTATTCACAGTAGCCCAAAGATGGAAACAACCCAGATGTCTGCCCGTCAATGGATGAATGCATAAACAATGTGTATATCCACACAATGGAATATTTAGCCATAAGAAGGAATGATGTATATTGATACTACAACATGGATGAACATTGAAGACATTATGCTGAGTGTTATATGTTATATGACATATGAGGGATATCAAGGATTCTGGAAAGGATTTTTTAGTTTAAAGTTAAGAAACACAAATCTAGATTACTCTCATTTTACACATGGAATAGACGGTAGTCAGTTTGGGTAGATCAGACCTAGGTTTGAATCCTACCAGCAGTTTATTAGTTGTGTCACTATGAGAGAAAAGGGACATATTGAATCTCTGTTTCAGTGTCAGAAATAGGATTAAAAACCATCTTTTTTGTGTTATTGAGGATTAAGAGAGTTGGCATAGTAGTAGCTACTATTTATTGACCACCATTTGTGTGCCTGATGCTTGCATTTTATGTACATTCTCATTTAATTTTTACAAAACCATGTCTTCTGCTCATTATATTACTAATATTTCTAATAGCTACCAAAGGGAGAAATGAGATGTCAGATAATAGAATGGTTAAATTATGATTGATGTGTTTGTCTATATGGAATGTTATGCAAATGGTGTTCTTTGAAGATTTATTTAGTTACTTGGATGTTGCTTATCTTAGATAAAAGGGTTTATCTATCATAATTTCAGATAAAGGAGGAAAAGTTGAGTTGGAAAAGCTTCAAAATATTTACTGCAGTATAATTTTGCATTATCTTTATGATTATTTTAACAAAACAGTTGCTTACATTGAGTGTTGTAACTTGATTACGGAAAACTTCATTCATACACAAAGGTAAAGCATAATGAACTTTCGTACCCCTCTCATTTTCAACAATGATTGACATGTGGCCTATCTTGTTTTATGTTCCTCTATATCTCCCCTTCCCCACTCCCACAGATTTTATAAAATCTTAGATATCATTTAATATGTCTTTCTACTTACTGTGACACCCACTTCTGTAAGGCATACATAAAATGGTTTAAGATGTGATTCTTTTCTGAATTTAGACTGATGCCCTAAAGTAGTCTATTAATGTAGATTCCTTGGCCCACCCTGAGGTTTCCTGATTTGGACAGTGGGAGTAAAGCCTAAGCATACAGGTCTGATTTTTGATAAAGGTTTGAGAAACACTTGAAACACTGAAACACTTAGCATAGAGTAAGTAAGCTTTTCTTTATAGTATGATGTTCTTTTGTCTTGTTTGTTTGGTTTTGCATGTTATTCTCTTATGCTTTTCTTCAGGTTTCCCTGGCTACTTCCTAATCTATATTTAGTTTTCACTGGAAAACTTTCTCAAACTACCCTTTGTGGTTTACTGATTGACTCTTTCATTGGCTCGTTCTCCTTCAGGGAAAGATTTTTGCTTCATGTTTTTGCATCTTGCTAATCCTGCTTGCTGATAAATGTTGAATGAAAGAGGTGAGGAAGAAAATCAATATAATAGGCCAAGAATATATATTCAGCTGATGCTGTATATTCAGCTGTATGCTGTATATTGGCTAATGTATATGTATGTGTGTGTATGCATACATATATACACACATTCAACTAGAAAGGAACAGGACTGGAGATAGAAATTTGAGATTTGGTTATTGTAAACTTGGTAGGAGCTAGATGTGCCTTGAACTACATTTAGTACCATTGATGCAAAGAAATGAATTGTTAGGCCTTAGCAGAAGATTGAATGTAGGATATGTGCACCTGTAATAAAAACTTTGCTGTTGAAGATGAAGTGGTAATACTTCCCACTAAGATCAAGATACAGAAAAGATGCATCTTTGTATCATTTGAATTGTTGCAATATCTATAGCTTCTTTGAGGTATTTATTTTAGAAATTAGATGGTGCTATGCAAACTCCTGTAATACATATGTATTTTCTTTTTATCTAATTTAGTTCAAGGAAGAAATCTCTAAACGCTTCAAATCACATACCGACCAACTTGTGTTGATATTTGCTGGAAAAATTTTAAAAGATCAAGATACTTTGAGTCAGCATGGAATTCATGATGGACTTACTGTTCACCTTGTCATCAAAACGCAAAACAGGTATGTTTTTAGAAGATGTATAGCTTTAAACCACGGGTAAGTGATTATATTTCTCTTTAAAAATAAAAATTTTTGCTTTTAAAGGCTTTCTCTGTCATTAATATTTAAATGGATTAAAAATCATTTGTTGCTGTTGTAACAAATATTTTTAAAATGCCAATGTAATTCAGTAATACTAATGGTTACACATTCCTATTTTAGAAGGTTCATCAGTATTGTTATATCTAAATTTTTTGAATTACAGAACAAGCAAGTTAATATGTTTTTAGGTATGCCTTTTGTTTTAGGGAGATTTTTGGTAAAAGGTCAGGAGTAACTCATCTCTTTGGCATTACAAATCTGGTTACAAATCTGTAACCATATTTTAATAAATTTAAGACACCACCAGTTTTTAAAAGGCACTTTTATTTTGTATATTATTAAGAATAAACAACTGCCAATTAAGTAGACATATTTTCTTTTCACTTAAAATTTTTATTTTTATACTTAGTGAAAGAATTCCTTTAGACTTTTTTGGATAAGGTGGTATATCACTCTTGTGCAGACATACAATAAAATAAATGAAATAAATTGGTTAAGGTCTTCCTTCCACTTTCATTTTGAGTCTGTGTCTTTCGAATCAACTTTTGACTTAGTTATCCATGTCCGTATTTTTCTATATGGGGTAAAACTGTACTCTTAATACAATTGGTGATGCAGCATTTCTTAAAAGAGCGCTGTAGTATTTTCTCAAGCCATTGAATGGTACTCTTTCTGCAAATTTTTATGCTGATTTTCCCCAACAGCAGATATTTGCTTCACAGATATAAAATTCATTCCTCGATTCCTATTTCTTTTTTTATGTACACAATAACTTCATTTTAGTACCAATTAATAGTGTAGTCTTTCTGGATACACTTCATATGGTAAACACTGAGTTACTCAGTTGACGTTACATAGACTACAATTGATGCCTGGTTGTCAACAGTTGTAAGACAGATCCTGATTTTAGATACGTTAAAATGAAAAAAATTTGCATCTTAGAGTCAGTGAAAGAAGAAGTGAGTGAGATTCAGAACTCTTAACTGGTATCAGGTAGGAGAGGTTTCTAATAAAAGTTTTTGCTTAGTATTAAGTAATAACCAGTAATTACTTGTATTGATTTCTCAGCCTTCTTTTGGTGAACTCTCTTTTTATTTTTTACTTTTAATAATTTCAAGAGTCTGAGTAAAACTGCCTCCAACCCTTAAGAACTTAGAAGGCGGTAGATAAAAAGTTGCTTTATATAGTTAAGGTTTTGGGTGTGATGGGTCATTGATTCCCCTCTGTGAGTGACCGCACTCTCTCACATAATCTGTATGATTAAATAAAATATTTATGTACATTATACATGAGGTGGGGCGGTTGAAGTATAGTTTGTTTTTTGTAAGATTTTACTATATTTTTTTATATTTGTGTTCCTAATACTTAGTTATCTCAAGGTATTTGTGATAATTTGAGTTGGTCTGAAAACTTATACTTTATTTCTGGGTATCAGAATTTCAGAGGTCCTTTTAAAAATAATTCCACTGTTTACACCATGATTTAATTATTCCCATAGGCCTCAGGATCATTCAGCCCAGCAAACAAATACCAGTGGAAGCAATGTTACCGCATCTTCAGCTCCTAATAGTAACTCCACATCTGGTTCTGCCACTAGCAACCCTTTTGGCTTAGGTAAGTGTCTTTAGTTATTTTTATAGGGATTGAAGAAAAATTTCCTCCTCCTTTGTGTAGTTTTGATAAAACGACAGAGTTAAACATTAAGTCATTTTAACAACAGAAACTTTTATAGCTTACTTCTATAATTGTTGTAGGTATTAACGAAGTTTTTGGGAATACAGATGTGCTTGGTTAGCTTACATAAACATTTGTTAAATGGTCAGAATGACACATTTCTTTTTAATAGTGAAAGAGAGTGTGTATGTGTTTAATTTAACCACCACATAATTGAATCTAAGGAAGATGGCTAATTGTTGATCATAAGCTAAGACCCTGAATATAATTTTCTCACTTGTAAAATGAAGGGATTGGACTACATTAGTGATTCTCTAATTGTTCTGCACACACAAAAAGGGATGGGGCCCGGGAGCAAGTCCAGTGGTAAGGGATTTCCTGCACCAGGCAAAACCACTTTTTTCTTATATTAGTTTTATATACTGAGGTTCTGTGGAAGGTTTTGTAGGGGAAAATAGTACTTTGATGATGCTAAAAAAGGTTGAACTAGGTAGATACATGGCTTAATGCTTCTTTCAGTTCTTAAGTTGACAAGTATAGTACCTTGAAATGACACTTTTTTATACGTAGAATTTTCGCATATCAAGGATCATACTTTTTATCACTTTTAGAAAAAGCTTTAGTAATTTAGATTTGTGCCAAGTATGGCACATAATAGACATGGCGTGAACTCACATTTGCTTTGTAAAAAATGTTTGCTGCTTTTTCTGAAATGATCTTAGATTATATGTGTCTCTTGGTTTAGGAAGATGAGTTTTAGATGGCAAAATTATTAACATGAACAATCTAAAGAGATTAGGATGAAATTGTGTAGTGTTCAGATCCAAGTAAGATATTGCTGAGCTATACATCTCCTCACTTCCTCATTTTATAGGCAAAGAAATTAAAACCCAGAGGCTTTTTAGTTAATTTGTCTGTGGTCATACAGCTCCCTAATCCCTTAATTTCTAGTCTCATTCCCACCCCTTCCTATCAGTTACTCCATTTACTCTATATATTCATGTTATCATTTTGCTGCCTTTTCTCATGTTAAGGTCTATCCCATGTGTAAAAGCCACAGAATCTTTCTTTTGCTTCCCTTTTCAGCTACCTGGAAAAGGCATTCTCTGTATTTCCCTTTCACTGAGTTTGCTCTGCCCTAATTTTTGTTCCATCATGTCGCTGAAAATTCCCTAATTTGACCTCTAAGTTTGCCAAATTTAGCAGACACTTTTTAGATTTTGAATTAATTTCTCTTAATATGAACCAGTCTCACCTTCAAATTTTCTTCCTTTAACTCTTGTTACTGTTTTTTTTTTTTTTTGGTTTATTTTCTGACCCTTTTTTTCCTGTCTCATTTATAGGTCTCTTTTCTTTCTGTTACTTATGTTGGTATTGTTCCCCAGAGTTCTGCATTGTCTTTTCTTCTCTTTTACTCTCTATTTATTTTTTGTGAGTGACCTTATCCCTATTGCGTATCTTAGTGGCTCTCAAATCTGTACCTCAACCCATGTCACTTCTGAATGCCATGCCTTGTTTTCAGCTCTCTTTAATATTTCCTGATGTTTTCTAAGTGCTGTATGTGTCTCTTCAGAAAGCAAATACTCATCAGCTTGCCCCTCAAACCACTAACTCTTGCTCATCAAATTTCTCTCTCCCACCCCGTATAATTATTCCTACTTCCTTGATGCAGGTCCTCAGCTTTTTAAATCTGTACTGTCTGGGTCATTTCCACACTGCTATTAGAATAAGAACATCTTGAGTGACTGTTCTGCTTAAAATCTTTTAAGACTGTGATTTTAGCCCTTGTCTACCTCTCCCTCCTCATTTCTTACCACATCTCAGCAGCTACATTATTAGTCAGGATAGGCTATCTTGTGTTAATGGATAAACTCAAACTCAGTGGCTTATTACCACAAAGCTTAATTTCTTGCCCTAAAGCTTTCCTTCATGCTACATCCTTTTCACAGGCCCCTGTCTACATAGTCCTCAAAGACACAAGCTAACAGAATTCTGCTGTCTTGTAGCTGCATTGCTTGGAACATGGCAAGAGACATGGAAAAGTCTCAAGCTGGACCTTCTGTGCTTTGGCCAGAAGTGACACCTATCATTTCTTGCAGTCCTTTGGTCATAACTAGTCACATGGGCCTATCCGAATGCAAAAGAAATTTAAGGCTAAACATGGAATGTTAGTGAGCACTGTTTTTCATTCCAGTCATATTTAATTTTTTACAGTTTCAAGAATACATCTATACTTACATTTATCTCTATGCTTTTTATATGTTTGTTGTGCCTAGTATTAAATCATCTCCCACATTCCCCACTTCTCCTTGCCAGCTTATTCTCCAGACTCATTAAATATCATCTTTAGGGAAAGCGGCCATTCATCCCACTTAGGTACTACTCTATTACCATAATATCCTGTGACTATCTGTTGAAGTACTTATTCTGCATTTGTTTTTCTTGTTTTTCTACTGGGTTGAGTTCTGAGGGTGTAGTTCTTGTGTCTTGTCACCTTATTCTCAACATGTCCCTGTCATATATAAAAAGTGCATTGGGTTGGTTATGTAATTTTACGAAGTAAGTGTTTTATGATAAACACTTAATCATCCTCTTGGATCTTTGAAGTTTCTCCATGATTTCATTCCATTGTAATGTCCTGGCTTTTTCTCTCCTTGATTGGTAGCAGCTCTGCTTTAAGCAGAGTTTATAGGTGGATAGCTAAACTAAAACTAGCCTTCTTCAAAGACATTATTAGAAGTATAAGCCAGTGCATATTTTCATTTCTTTCTTCCTTTAGCAGGCATATTGTGGGGTATATCTCTGGTACCAAGTAATTTTTCAGCACTACTTGGGTGTCCAGTAGTTCAGTTCTGATACTAACTACCTGGAGTTAGTGTCAGATCCCATAATTTAAAGAGCTCAGTCCCCAAGACTGCCCCCTACTTCAGATAACAGTCCAAGTCCCAGGCTGCCTCTGCTTCTGACTAGTAGGCTATAAATTGGGGGTTTCCACGACACCCTCCCCAGGTTTGATAATTTGCTAGAATGGCTCACAAAACTCAGGAATACACTTATGTTTACCAGTTTATTATAAAACAGAATTAGTCAAATGGAAGAGAAGCATAGAGCAAGATATACGGGTGGGGTGAGTGCAGAGCTTCCATGCCCTCTCTGGGCATGTCGCCCTCATAGCATCTAGATGTGTTCATCGACACAGAAGCTCTCTAAATCTCATTGCTCAAGAGATTTTATAGAGCTCAATTCTAGTCCCTTCTCTTCTCCTTCTTGAAGATTGGTGGTGATATGAATTTTTCAGCTTCATTATAATCTTAGGGGACCAACATCGTATATGTGGTCCATATACAAAACATCAGTAATGTGGCACATGGCTATATATTTTTGTATTATACCACACATAATAAATATATATTTGGTGGTTTTATTACTTAAACCTAAATATTAGAGTGAATATTGGCTAATTTTTGGCTCATTTAAATTATAGAAATTATACATGTATTTATATAAGTAATAGGAATTCTACTTTTGCTTTAAAACAGTTTTCTATAATGGACTATTGATTCACTTAATATTTTTGCATCTTCACATTTTAGCACATACATGTTAATGATAAAATTTTTGACTTTCATTTATGTTTCTTTTTCCCTGTATTCTCTTAGGTGGCCTTGGAGGACTTGCAGGTCTGAGTAGCTTGGGTTTGAATACTACCAACTTCTCTGAACTACAAAGCCAAATGCAGCGGCAACTTATGTCCAATCCTGAAATGATGGTCCAGATCATGGAGAATCCTTTTGTCCAGAGCATGCTTTCAAATCCTGACCTGATGAGACAGTTAATTATGGCCAATCCACAAATGCAGCAGTTGATACAGAGAAATCCAGAAATTAGTCATATGCTGAATAATCCAGATATTATGAGACAAGTATGTGGAATGTTCCTCCAGTTTATTTAGCTAAAAAATTATATACTTTATTATTCAATTTTTTTTATTCCAAAAGAGCTTGTCTATATGTATGGCTATGCTGAAAAAGGAAATCCTAATTTTTGTTCAGGAAGACTCAACAAAGTACTAATTTGGACTATTTGAACTTTGAATTTTCTGCTGTATTTTAAAGATCTTTTAAACAGTTATTTTGCAGATTTAAGAAACAGCCCCGTTTAGGAGATTGGCATTCACTTATAAAAAAGTGCTGCTTTATTGTTATTATTTAAATGTTAGCGTGCTTTTTGAAATGAAATCCAATAGCAATTATTTAAAATAATTTTTTGATTTAAATATTGAAGACTGATAATTCATAGAATTAGAGGACTTTATAAAATTAACTGTGGAAGTTAATAGCCTAAGCAATTTATGTGTATTTCAGTGCCCCCCTTTTTTTAATGGCCCCCTTATTATTTTTTTTCATGAAATCTTTCCCCTAGACATTGGAACTTGCCAGGAATCCAGCAATGATGCAGGAAATGATGAGAAACCAGGACCGTGCCCTGAGCAACCTGGAAAGCATCCCAGGGGGATACAATGCTTTACGGCGCATGTACACGGATATTCAGGAACCGATGCTGAGTGCTGCACAAGAACAGGTGATAGCTTTGGCTCCAAAACTCAGGCTAAGGGATAGCTCCTGTTTTAACACAAATATGTGTGTGTTTGAGGGCTACTTATATAAACAGAATGAGATTTTCATTAAAGAAAGTTTCATATCTGTTACTTAAAAGCTTATTTTATGATTTTTGTGTCTTTTATTACAGTTTGGTGGTAATCCATTTGCTTCCTTAGTGAGCAATACATCCTCGGGTGAAGGTAGTCAGCCTTCCCGTACAGAAAATAGAGACCCATTACCCAATCCGTGGGCTCCACAGGCTTCCCAGAGTTCATCATCTTCCAGCGGTACCACCAATGCTGTAGGGGGCACTGGTGGTGGTGCAGCCAGTGGCACTGCTGGGCAGAGTTCTACTGCACCAAGTTTGGGGCCTGGAGTAGGAGGTATGTTTATATAACTCACTTATTTGAATAACGAAACCATTTTTTACGCTGTTAATCTTTGTGCTTTTGTGTGTGTGTGACAGGTAGCTTTTATGAAGTACTTTTTCATGTTGCACGGTTTTTTTTTTTAAGCTTTAAACATATAGTGATTAGTATTAATTGGTTGTATGCGTTATAGTAGAAAGAGTTATTGAAGATTTCCGAGGCAGTTTTGTGTTTTAACATTTTCATAAGATAGTTTGGGGAAGTAAGAGTTTGGTCGTCTCATTTCTACCTTAGGAAAACTGAAGTGCAGAGGGAACACAGTTACCTGTGTGCTTATTATGAGAGCACGTATTTCCTGGCTTTAGTCTGCTTTTGTATTCCAAATCAGTAGATTCTCAAACTTCAGCCCTGAGACCAGGCTCAATAAGCTGCATCCGAGTACATGCCAGGTTTGTTAAAAATCCATTTAACTTTAGACCTCCTGGATCAGAATCTTCCAGATCTGTGTTCGTATAAAGCTGCTGGAGAGTCTGCTGTGTGAACAAGCTAGGAATTTACTTTAAATTATTTTCTTGTAGACTGAATAAATGATACCCTTTTTTTCATCTATTCAGATATTTACATGGTAAGATTAGGTCTAAAATTGGTAGCCAGAGTGATGATTTTAGTCCTTCTTAGCATATAAATGAGAAGAAACGAAAGCATGGGGCTACTTCCATCCCAAATTGAAAGGGACTGGGTATATTTTAAATGATACTTG